ATTTTAAATTAAATATTGATTTAAAATTTACAATAAAAAGTGGAGGGTCAGAGTTCGTTAATTATTAAGAATATCCTCATGACCAATGAATGATGTTATAATGACTCTTTATCTTGCTCCACTGCTGGCTACTGCTGGCTTTCGTAGCATTTGACCAAATATAATATAGAAAAGAAGAAAATTGTGAATCTCTTTATGGCAATAGACAACTAATTGTCAAAGACAAGCTTTAAAACCAGATTTAATTTGAATATATGGAGGAAAAAGAAAGCAGTGGGGAACTTGTCAATTTTACATTTTGCGCAATGAAGCATCCTTGCTCTTGCTCGCTTTATACCAACTCATGATCATCTTCATCTTTCGCCTATCTAACATTTGCCACCTTTTTCCAGGATTTCTTGTGTTCTCCGCAAATTTTCCAAATCTAGCTGCAGTTTCAACATTGCCACCTTCTTTATAAACTTCATGCCAACAGGTTCATATCATCTCCAATATTTCTCGTTTTATAAATGGAATTGGATTCCCAATTATTTGCATTGAACTTGAAAACTTTCTGTTGTTTCATTTTTCGTTTTAAAAATTAAATAAATAGAAGAAGATGAAGAACGTGGCTTTTACAGTTTGTTCCAACTTTTTTCAAATCTACTAGGAATTGAAGAAAGGACAATGGAACTAGTTCGAGTATAATGGATTTGGTTTTTATAAAAAAAAATCACGAAAATTTCATGTGATTTAATTATAATTATAAAATTAAAATTAAAATTAAAATATTATAAATCAAAATTAATTTTATGTTGGTGCTTTAAATTTGACCTAGTCAAATCATTCTTTTCCAGGAGAAAGTGGTGATCATATTTAATGCAACCCAAGATTCAAAAGAGTTTTATGTGCGAGTGCCACGTACCTGTCTAATCATGAATTGCTCTAGGCAAAACGAAACCCAACACAACACACGCACATGGACAATAACTCAAAACAACTGGAGCATCAGAACATTAAAAGACGAGTTTCACATGCCAATAATCACCACTTTCGACCTCCTCCAACTCAGCTGTAATATGCCAATAATCACCCCTTTCATATGTTCCTGTCTAATTCCAACCCCTCCTCAGTTGCAATATTGCATTCCCCTGTCAAAGTGTAAACCAACGTGATCATTTGACAATGTTCCGTGCTGGTTAATTTCAAGTTTGAACTTTATTAAATTTCAACTAGTTGGGCACCCACAAAAAGTCAACAAAAACTCAAAAATGGAATCGGTAATGGCGTTTGATATATCCTTGTTCTAATTTAACCATACATTCTGAGTCACAAGTCACATTCACACGACATTCAATGCCACATGCATTATAGCTGTCCTTTGTAGGAAAAGATTATTTCAGTCATGTATACATTTTTTGTTGCTTTTCCTTATGATCAGGCCAACTACCAAGACCCTATCCCAAGTTTAGATGCTCCATCATATTGTTGCTGGCATATCAGCCCCATCTGTCAGAGCAACTCGTGAGGCTGTAAACAGAAATTTATGTAACAAGATGGGATGGCTCCAATCCTTGGCAACATTTTGGTTGACTTGAAAGAATTTTGCTGCTTTTGAACCAAGGCTTCTGCCTCTCAATACCGAATCTAAGAACTATAATATATATATATATATATATATATAGTAATAAATAAACTCAAGGAAAAAGATGAAACACAATCTGCAAAGATAACATTTTATCAGAGACAGTCAATGAAAATATTTATTAATTGAAGAATTTCCATTTATATTCTCCTCTTCTGACAATGCTCTTTAAAACATAAAAAATACTATAATTTACATTGCTATTGTTTCAATTTTTTTAAGCACTTGAAGAACATAGTCGGGTTAAAAATAGACAAATGTCAGTCCAGAGATGACAGGGGCTCCGACAGAGTTGGAAAGATATGCATGCACACAACCCTCTGCAATCTGGATGCCATTTTTTAAAATTTATATATTCTACATTCTCTGATTTTAATTTTGATGCCTGTCAATTTATTTAAACAAGAAAGCAAAATTCTGATGCGTCAATTGGGGAGTGCGTTACATTGCACTGGGGAAGCCACCTCACAATCCACATGACTTTGATCTGATTGGTGGAGGGAAAAAAGAAAAATGAATGAGGGTATTTTTGGAGAAGCAGAAGATGGCAAAAGCAACTAAACAGAAAGGATGGGACTGGCCTTTGTGGCTACTGTTTACGCTACATAGACAGCAGTAGCAGTCCTTTTGTGGGCTCTTATAAATTCTTCCAACCAATTTTTTGATTCCTTGCTTCCGATGCTTTTAACAAATTAGTAAGCTGTATCTCCACAAACCCACTCACCCTGTCTTTCCCTCTGTCTGAAATCTGAATATATACCGCTCATTCCTCTCTGATCGTAACCATAAATTAAACAACTTCCAGGCGCTAGCTGTTGCTAATGGCAATCCGTACCCTAGTTCAAGTTGTTCTTGTTGTTTACTCTATTCAAGCCATTGGTGAGGAAAACAAGTATGAAATTGTTGTGCAAAATTCAAATTGAAAATGAAATAGCACTCACTGGCACTAGTAGTAGTATATATGGATTGGATTACGTAGACTATAGAAGAAATAACTATTGGAGTAGCCAAATATGTGCAGAGACCTTGGGAATGCAAAGCTGTGGGGTAGTTTAGTACCCGAGTTGGGAATGCTTGAGCGTCTTCAATAACCGTAAGCAAATCCAATATTGGTATTTGCTGGCAGCTAAATTAAATATACTTGGATTTTGGATAATTAAAAGTTATTGTCATGTGTTTCATACCTGCTACTAACATTGTGATTGATCTCACCAACCATATTAACCGGTGATGGTGTCACCCTCCGATCATAGGCTGGCTGATTTTGATTTTGAAAATATATTATTTTCATGGTTGATGATACGACGGACGCTGTATTTAATGCAAAATGACATGGCTGTTGCATGTAATGTTTACAGGGAGCTGTACATGAACAACTTGGGTGAGTTCCATACCAGAGGAACTTGGAGAACTGAAAAGCCTAGTGAGCTTGGATCTTTACCACAACAACCTTGCTGGGTCCATTCCAGCTTCACTTTCTAAGCTCTCCGATCTCAAGTTCCTGTAAAGTTTTTTTTCCTTTTTCACTAATTGTAAAGTTAAACTGATGATGATGGTCAGTCATTAATGTTCATGAAAACCTTTGGACGGATCACAAACTGAGCTCTGTTGATATCCATTGAATGCAGGCGACTGAATAGTAACAGATTGAGTGGAAGAATTCCAAGACAACTTACAAAACTTGGAAATCTAAAGATCCTGTGGGTCATGGTTTGGATTTGTCTCATCGACATTAGTAGTATTTTTATTTTCCCTTCCCTCATCATTATTTAACACTACTGTTGTGGAGCAGTGACGTATCAAAAAACGATTTGTGTGCACAATCCCTACCTCGGGTTCCTTCTCTAAGTTTTCGGAGGAAAGTAATGAATGAGTAACGATTCTGCTTCAAAATGTCGAAGGCTTCAATTCCTATTCTGTGTTTGTTTCTTCTTCTTTTGCCGGTTGTTTTATTTTATTTTATTTTTATACAGTTTTACGAACAAGTCAAGACTGGAAGGACCGGAGCTGATGGGATTTGTGAGATACGATATAGGAGGTGTACATGATGATGCGCAGCAACGAATAACTATTGCCCATTCCACATATTATCTCGGCCATGTTATATAATAGCACTAAAGATTTAAAAAAAAAAAAAAAAAAGGCTACTAATCGACATCTTTAGAAGTGACGTCCGAGCAAATTGCATCTTCTTTTGCAGTAAATATACTTGGAAGTTAATGGCATTGGCTATATAATACTTGGAAAATGCTTCGGATTCTTAGACATTTATATAAATATATATAAGAACAAAGGACTTGACATTCTAAATGCTCTCGTGCTTTTGCCTAAATTACGGTGACTAAATATTTCAAAATTAATTCACGACATTCAAAGGACAAGGTTTTCCTCTCTACTCAAGTCATTTTTAGAAGTGAAAATAATTATAAAATGATAAAATTGTCCTATATAACTATTTGAACAGGTTAAATATAGGGAAAGATACTCAAGCATGATCTTAATCCTCCATCACAAATAAATACTTAGATATTTAGAACAGCAAGGTAACAACTCATAGCTCATTAGACACAATAACATGTTGTGTACATATACACAGGTTTTGTTTGGTGTTACATTTTTAAAATACAAAAGAAATGAAACGGCAAAACGATAGGAGTATATATATTCGATTAAAAGGAAGGCAAGCAAATAAACAATAAAATCAATCCAGGCAAGATAAATGGGCATTGAATCAAAATCACCCAGATGTGTCCCCATCTAATTATTACCTTCTGCATTGAGAAACTAAATTTGCAACCAAAAGGAACCTTGTTTGTCTAGCAATGGCAGTAATCCACCTTTCACTCAAACACTGAAGTTGACAATATATATATAAATATATATATATATATATATATATATTACACATTTGTGGAAAACATGTCACTTTGCCCATTCCAATTATACATGTTCATCGAAAGCAAATGCTCTTAAGCAAGATTTTTGAGTATCTCATTGACAAAACTTACTATTCTTAATTTCATACAGCACCATAAAAGTCCTGTTTCTAACCAAATTCTTAATACATCAGCAGCAAAGTAAATTATATTTAGATTATATGAATGCTGAATCTATCTTTTTGTGGTAGGGTTATGGATGTGGAGGGTTCAGGCCTAGAGGAATAACTCATAAACTCTATGTTAGTCGGAGTATGTTCAATTTATGTGTTTATGTATTTTCATATATTTAGAGGGTCAGCGCTCTATAAACATGCTCATTGGATGTGTTAAAAATCAATATTTCTCTTTTTAGAAAAACAGTCATAAACTTATGAATATAAGATATCATAAAGACAAATCAATCCACCTATACTGCCAAATATTATTTACTATAGTAATTTGCATAGTATAAAAGAATTGAATTATATTATTGCCTTGAAGAAAATACAAAATTTCTCAAAAATGATGGAACACGTGGCAAGTATTTCACTGATTCATGCCAAGTGTGCATTATAATAGACAAGGATTGGCTGAAACATAAAACAACAATATAGGAAAAATTAATAGACAAGGGTATATTCACATATCTGCACCTGTATGATATGGTAAAGACAATTGTAGCCCCCACGAGCCAGGAGTTGAAATCACTACTATAATTATATATAATCAATCAGCTCCTGCATCAATCACATACCAACAGTCAGAAATAGAAAAAAAGATACATAGAAGCTCACCAGAATGCATAATATACAATTGTTCATGCTATTGAACTATAGACCTTGCATGCGAGGGATAATTCCAAATAAGAGGACCACTAATGGAATAACCTAATGCAACATAAGTTTCTAAAACGGTTGCTTGTTAAAAAATTACAGGGAACAACAAAATAAAGGTGCCAGTATGGCATAAAAATTCCAATACTGCTTCAAAACATCAACTAGCCTCAATAAACTTGGAGAAATAAACAAAAGTATTGTGGCATTGCATTTGGGGGCTGGACAGGCAGAACTGAAAATTTTATTTTTTGAATTTGCTGGATTTAAAGCATATATTTGACTTCTAAGTCTGCACTCTATATAAAAAATATTAGAGTTGCATGGTTGTCATGAATAAGCTATCAAACGCATCCACTCCCAAGCACTACAGAAAATTGTGATGCACTCGGTCTTTATTCACAGTCTTCATAACAAATGCTCAAATTTTCACATTTTGAGCCATATTCATTTTTTAAGAAGTATCTGAAAAGTGATATAGTATATATATTGAGAAAGAAACTTGCACAACAAGCAATGATCAATCAACTGGTAAAGTCATCCCATCCATTGTTTCCCTGGATGGTAATAACCAACTTACTGGAATTTTAATCATTTTGGCACAAGTATTTTAAATGGATCAAAGGAAACAAAAGCATTGCTTTCTGATTACCTATCAGCAGTCTCTGAACTAGTTGATGATGGCTGGGTTTGAGAAAAAGATATTGGTGTCAAAGGAGGTGAGGCAACACCTTGAGACATCCCTGAACTGATAGCAGTTTCGAGTGGCTTGGACACTGGTAATGATGTCACTCTATGAGCACTTGAGGGTATGGAGAAACTGCGTGTAACAACCTGTGGAGGTTGTGGCAGAGGAGAGGCTGCTTTTGACACCACATATTGATTTGTAGCAGAAAGCACTTGACCTCTAGGCATCAAGGGGCCTGAATAACCAACCAAGCCTAAAGGTCTTGAAGATTTGGAGGCTGAACTGGCTGGGGGTCTAGGAAGTTCATGAAGCTCACTTATTTTTGGTGAGGACACAAGAGGGGAAGTACTGGGTGATACTTTCCGAGATGTTGATGGCAGTTGTGGCATTGGATTTCTCACAATTGGCCCAGAGAACAATCGTGGATGTTCCACTGAAACAGGTTTGGTAGGCCACGGTTTACTTGTCAATGGGCCAGAAAAGGCTTGTCGTTTGATTTTCTTGGAATCAGAAGCAGCAATTGGACTAACTCGCGAAAATAAAACCCTATCAGACAAAGGAGGGGGCAGTCGAGTTGAAGAAGCAGCATTATTGCTCTCTCTCAGTATTGACTGTGCATACATAGTGCCAGATCCAGAAATTTTCTTATCTCCCAAAATCCTCTCATATTTCTTATGTTCAAGCGGAGATGAATGCCATAAATTGTTTGAATGCTCATTCAAACTTGTTTTGAAAGATAGAGGAGCTGGATTACCTAATCCAGTAGAACCTTTAGTAGCAACCGGTGTAGGTAATACATATGAGTTGAACTTCCGTGCCAATAATGGTTGAATTTTCTGAGAAGGGTCAAATTTATTCTCAGCAAAAAGAGGGGCTGATTGGCTGCTGTTCCTTATTTCGGCTCTAAATGAAAAAGAATGACAGCGGCTTCTTTCTAGATTTTCCTGTAACATAAGGAACAGTAAAATATACTAGCAATAAAGTATATGTTTGCAGCAAAAGGGGGAAAATATGCAAATTTTGAGGTTATAAAGTTGCTTCACTGGAAGGATAACATATTTTGTGTTCAGCATAAGTCAATGCATATAAATCTGTTGACCAATCAGACTCAGTTAATAAACTTTTACGGTTAATTATATAGTCCAGCTAAACCTGATATGTAATAGGATGATTAATTTCAAAATATTTGATGGTAAAATCCGAAAGAGGAATATGTGACCCAGATAAAACCGTTACACGTTAAAAGCCAATATCATTTTTCAGCAGATCAAGGATATATAACATAGATTGCAATTAATGGAATGAATTATCAGGAACTGCTCACTTGACAGGTTTTGCGCATTTACATAACACAAATTTGCAAAATCTAGCCTCATATTGTGAACAATAATTAATAATATAACAAGTTCTTTACCTTTGCAGCCTCCCCCATTGCAATTTGGGGAAATGTAAGGCCTACTTGATCCAACTGCAAAAATCACATGGAAATCATACAATTAATGCATTTAGAGGCACAAATAGAATTAATTCTTATTTTATGTATGTCAACCCCATGCAAGGTCCATACAACTTTCTTTACAACACTCAGGAGAGTGAAATCCATTACACATACACAAAAGAAACAACATCAACAACATCAACAACAACAACAACAATTGCATTTCAGCAAGGAAGAAATTAGTTAGCTTGTCTTAGCCAGAAATAGAATGTTAAATAGTCACCTTCATTGAGTGTTGTGAAGTGGGAACCATGTTCTGATCTTGCTCATTTTGTCCATAGTCAAAGCTCAATTCCCCATCATCATGGTCATAACCATCATCCTCATCATCATCATCATCACTGTTGTCATCATCATCATCGTTTTCATAATTGTCATAATCTTCACCATTGTCTCTGTCATCATCTTCAAGTCCACTGAAGTGGTAATCAATATGCTGTTGTTTAGTGATCTTCTGCACATGTGGCTCTACTTCTTCAAGAGACTTAAGAGCCTTCTTAAAAAAGCACAGCTGCTTTCAAGCAAAAGGAAATAGATCAATAACCAACAACAGAGGGAATAAAAAGTTCAACAAAGTAGAAAAGAAAGAAAAGAAACCTGAGCAGCATGGTGTCGTGCTGCTTGAGTGAGAAGGCTTCTTGATTGTCCTTGCTTTAGAGATTTCAACCGAAAAACAAATAAGGTTGCCTCCTCATCATATTCATCATGTGCTACTTGTAATTGCTGCATGGAGAAATTCTCCCCTTTCCCACTTTTTGATCTTCCTTTTTCTTTGTGTCTCACTGCCATGTACTCGTACACATTTCTATAGATAACACAACAAATATCAGAAACCAATATCTTTGAAGGATGAACTTTGTGTCTGCCTATTTGTTGAAAGAAGAAATAATAAAAAATAAAACTTGGACCTTTTTTCATCACATTGCCGCTTCATCTCCTGTATCAACACAGAGGAAAAAGTCACTCAAAATTACCTCATTTAAATGCTTAACTGGCTCTGTAATACATAATGCAAAATTTTGTGTAACTAAAACAATGTGATTCACCAATAAAAGTTTAATCTTTTGTTGATAATATTTGCATAATACATAAGAAAATGATGATACGTCGACGCTTCTGAAGAAAAAAAACCATAACATACAAGTCAAGATACTACGGAATCCCACATAAATCCTGTATCCAATGTCGGATTCTTATGTGAGCCCTTAAGACGTTTGAATGAACTTAAGCCAATAATGATTACAACATATAAAGCAAGTTTTCAAGGGGTAAGCCTTTCAAAAACATTTTGGATGCCATCCCAAGGCGTTCATATGTTTTAAAGAAAACAGGGAGTGGAATACAGAGGAATTTCTTGGTATTGATTGGTGAATAAGTTCTATTACTTGAAAGAAATAACAAACAAACAAATATAACAAAGTCTTCTTTTCCCCGCTGTTGTTCACTGTTACAGACAATTTCCAGGTTCCAAACTTTCAAAATTGTTTATGTTAACATGACAAAACTATACACCTAATCACTGAATCTTCAAGAGTTAGTCTTTGCTAGCCATTATCTTGATATGTACATGTCCAGAAAGTAGAAAAGTAAAGGACATTTAAAAGAAAAAGCAATTACCATCAAATAATTGAGCACTACATTAACAAGAAGAGTCAAGAAGCCAAACTGTAAGTGATAATCTTCACATGATAGAATGATCAAAATTAGAAAAATTAGTACAGAAAAAAAAAAAAAAAAACCAAATAGAACTTGCCAATAATTGGTAGAAATATTCCATAAGAACAAACCTCAACTGTTCGAAGTTCATTAAGAAGGGACTCTGATGGGCTAGTGATTGTCTGGAATATATGAGACCGCTGAAGGATGCAAAGTAATAATTCATAAGCACAGTAAAGAAGACAAACTTTTATGAGAGCTTCCAGGTTGTAACAAAAAATACTCACATAGCTGTCAACAAGTTTCTGGAGTTTGAACTGTACTTTTCCAAGCATTAGTAGTACTTTACCTGCAGAGGAACAAAAGCAGCTTATTTTCACACATCCCTTTTTGAAATGGTTTGGTGCTACATATAACAGAGTATACATTCTGATGAAGAAACAACTATGATGCATCTAAAGCCAGGTACTACTATCCGAATGTGCCAAAGTGGGTAAAAATAGTATCTATTCTAAAAGATTTAGAAAAAAAATTTGCATTTTTTCTCACTTGAGAGATTGAAGGTAACAACATTAAGGATGCATTACAAGTGTCGAATATACTAAATGTGAATAAGCTAAAATTCAACTGGCTGCAAAATTTTGAGTTTTACTTGATTCATCTCCTAAATCAAAGTTGACAACCAAAACACAAGAAGTACTTTGAAACTGGGCAATCTGTGGTGGAAAAAACTTATTAACTCTTAAATCAAAGTTGACAACTAAAACACAAGAAGTACTTTGAAACTGGGCAATCTATGGTGGAAAAAACTTATTAAACGGAAAGGTAATGAGTACAAATGTAAAGTCTTACATGGAAAGTCATCCGTTATTTGATTATGCTAACTAGCAAACATTGAGCACAATAATATAACAATATATATCTACTTACCACTTTCTTCATCATCATTTAAAGCAGTTTTTGCAAGAAGACAAGCACCCATTTCCCGCAATGACTCTGAGAATTCTGAGAATAAGCGGGACTACATGAGAGATTTCAAGATTGAAAAGGCGTACAAAGTCTTCCATACCAAAAATTAGAGACCAGACAACTAATATTTTATCATCAAGCTTGAGCTTGAACCAACATACAAAAATACCATTAATGAACCAATGCCATCATTCTTACATCAACTATTTGTACCATTAGATTTATAAAATTGTCAATCTCCAGGGCCAGGACTTGAAAAGAAAACTTAAATTCAACAATGACATTCGCATTATGCAGAAACATGTATTTAAGAATTTTAATAATAATAATGCGAAAGCTGAACTCCATGCATTAGTTACCATTAAATGAACAAATCATCTAATCATAGAAAGAGCTTGAAATAATTTAATGATGCCTATAAAACCATACATGGATAAACAACCGAACATGCAGCATGTAACAAAAAGATGAACCTTCTAAACGCATTACATGAATGAAGACTTAGAACATGCTTAAATGAATCTCATAAAACCAAAATAAAAAAATAAAAAAAATCATTTCAGTGACGCATAAATAAGAAATACAACAAATGCACAAATAAAAACGAAACATTAATAAATTACCATAAGCACTATTTGCAGTTGCTGCAGCTGCAGAAAGTAAGCTGTCGTAGCAATCTCTCATATCCTGCATATCCTACAAATCATACAAAACCATAGATAAATCACCTTTGACCCAACAATACACCCACTAGGTGAAAATCTCAAGCCACAGCTTTGAGCAACTTTTATAGGTGAAAGCACTCTTAAGCCTAATCCTTTACATCAAGAAGTGCTTAATTAATTAAAGCTGAAAAGGACTCATTTTTTGGAGTAATTGACATATTTTAGCAAGGTATTATTCCATGACCAGCCTGGAAAGTTTCAGTGAATGAAATTAAATGAAAAGAAAAAAGAAAGAAAACAAAGAAAAAGAAGAAGAAATATAATGTTTTAATCTTTCCTTAAAGAAATCCAGTTAATTCATAAATCGACTTACCAAAGCATAGAGAAAACCCTCACTGAACGTTTGAATAATGGAAAGACAAATGAAAATTAGGAAATCGAAATGACCATTGAAAATTTTTTAAATATATAAATATACATATATATATATATGTATATTTGGAGTTGTTATAGCAACCAAAGAGAGGATGAAATGAGACCTGAGAAGCCTGAGCGAGCTCGTCGAATTGAGGCAAAGGTCGAACATCTTTTCGGTCCTTGGTTTCCCCACCGTGCTTGTGAAGGGCAAACCCTCGCAATCTTCTCAGAGAAGTCTTCATTTTCGTCCGCCTTAAAACAATAAAAATCCTCTTTCTCTCTCTCGCTCGCACAATATTTACGTGATTTCTGTTTCCGAACAACAACAGACTTCCAAGCCAAAATCCCCCCTTCTTCCTCTTTCTTCTTTCTTTTATGAATATATGATATGGTATGGTTACGTCAACTACATAAAAAAAAAATTTTTTAAATAAAAAAAGAAAGAAAGAAGAGGGTCATACACTGACCGACATACGTTTTCTTTAGAGAACCAGAAATTTCAGAATTTGCTCCTTCTTCACTTCTTCCTTGTTCCCCTTTTTTCTAATGTAATCATTTCATTTCTTTTATTAATTAATTAATTAATTAATTAGTAGTACGTCATGTAATTACATCAACTACGGAAATTTTATACACTCGTAATCTTATTCTTATCCCAATAAACACCAGTTTAATTCTTTTTTTATTTAATAAAACTAACACCAAATGCCAAACTGGACGATGAAGAAACAGAGAGAGAGAGAGAGTAAAAGGTCAAAAGTCAATAATCTCTTTTTTAATGAATAATAATGAATTCAGTATAATCGTGCGATTATGATGCCTTTGTTAGTTTTTTTCTTTTTTTTTTTTTTTTTAAAGCAAAAGTTTGATTTGCTTGCAATAAGGTTAATGATTATGTTATATTAAGTTTAGATTTCTTTTTAGTTATTTTACTTTAAAGACCTAACTAGCCTGTACTCGTATTGTACAATTAATTTTATCAAGACAATTTTTTTATTAAAAAAAAAAAAACTATTTCGTTACTGCAATTCTTTTTACCATTGAATTCAAATTCAGGTTACAAGGACATTTATTTATATCAGAAAAATCTCTCTTTATTAAGAAAGTATAGCGTGAAATTTGAAAATTTGTTCAATATATTTAAATTTGGTTGGATTCCATTTGATAAAAAATATATATAATTTAAATTTAAAATTAAAATCAAATAATCATGAAATTTAATTTAAAATTTTGAAATTAAATTAATTTGATTTTAAAATTTAATAATTTTAATCTAAAATAATTTGAATTTAATAATACCAAATTTAAACAATTTACGTTTCAAATTTTAAATTTTAAAATTTAAAATTATTCAAACAAAATCGATTCCACTCATCCAACTGCCTCAAATGAAATTATATGTAAGGTTTTTTACGAGATATTTTGTACGTTCAGAAGATGAGGTGTTTTTTAAAAAATGAAGCTTTATGGTATCATTCTTTCTTATACACAAATAGTATTTTGTTTTAAACTTTGACCCTAGGAGGACCAATCATATTGTTAATTTCAGTCAAAATTTTGGAACAGTATCATACCATTATTATAATTTATAAATAAAACACCAAATCCAACTACTCCAAACATAGAAAATAAAGGTAGCCTTTCAGAATTTTGACCCTCAAATTCCCATAAATTTCATGTATAATTGCCAGAAGGATCCTTCCTCTTGCTGCCAAAATCTTGACCTTCCGAAGGTTGTCGCGGTCATTCCGTTAAGCCTTCAATAATTTACGACGGGGTTAGGTACCAAAAAAGGACACTCAGCTGTACTCTTAATTTGGCTCCTTTGGCTCTGGTCATAAAACATTTTTTTTTTTTCATGGTTGCTTTGAATATATATTCCTATTGCAAATCCACATAGCAGTGCGAAATTTTCAAAGTCTATTCAGGTACCATATGATTAATTTATTATTACAGTTAAAACCTAAAAGCACGAAAACTAGTAAAAGGAAAAATACAAAAGCAGGAAGCAGAGAACTGAGAAAATTTGTTTGGTCAAGATTCAAGAAAACGTGTTTCTTGGGGCACAAGTCTAGGACTTCTGTTTTCTTTTTCTAGTTCCAAATATATTTTCACAATACTGTTTTGGCAGCTGTAAGATTTAGTTTCGTATTCACATTTGCTATAGCTTGCTTGCTTGCTTGCTTTTAGGATTCCAACTTCTTAATCACGCATGGGAAATGAATAATATTCCTCAATTAATCCTGTTTTCACAATCACAAGTATATATGTGTTGCTGTACTTCAAACTCCATGAAATTTAATAATTGTACTATGAAGCAAAAGGAAAGTAACAATACGAGATGAACAATAAAAATATTCTAAAATAACCATCCTCAAAATTCAAAAAATAAAAAAAAAAAACAAGAATTTACGATAGTTGTTTCATAGAAACTAAGAGGTTAATCAACTGAATATTAAATTTATTTGTGAAGGATCGATTTTATTTTTTATACAAGTGGTATGATTTCAGATTTGAGAGGTATTTATATATTATTTCATTCCTGAAATGGTGCCAGTGTGCTGCAACAGCTCAGGCTCTAGGAAACAGAATGTTATATTGTGGAAAGAGTTTCAAGTTTCTCCATGTTACGGTTCCAGTCTTACAGGAACCTGTTAATGTGATGCCAGTCGTCATAGAAAGCGATCTAACTGAAAGTTCTGACCACCTTTTTTTTGTCTGAAATTCTTTCAGCAGGCCGATTATCTTTTGGGAAAACATCTTTTCAACTTGTAAAATATAGTGGGGATTAACTTGCATATTGAATTGTGGCTTGGCTTCGAGAAATGCAAAAGCGGTCCAAAATTTTGGCTCTTGTCGCGCTTTAACTCATTCTACTCTCCAAAAACCGTAGATTTTAAGTGAAATTATTCCATCTGTCTCTACAGTGTAATTCAAATAAATATAGTCATAAATTAATTTAACTAATAATTTTAATTCAATCATTAATTTTGTTAAATTTTATTTATCAATTTTATTAATGTATTTGTTGATTTGTTGACATGATTTTTGATTTTTTCGATATAATATTTTGATTAATTATTAATAAAATTTATGATGACGTAAATTTAATAAAATATCACGTGTCAAAAAATAAATTTTGCTGATTTTACAAGAAAGTTCTACTAATTTTTTCTTGGGAGCATTAGATATTGTAGTTATTGTTAGAGTTCACTTATTTAATTAGTGTTCCCGTCATATTGTTGATGTATATTTATACCCTCATGTTGTTAGTAATAGCCTCATAATAGCCTTTTAAACAATATCTATTTGGGCCCGTCATCTATAGGTTTTGGAAAGGGTTTTTATTGAGATCACTGCACTTAAGCATCTTGAGCATCCATACTTGGAGCTTGAGAATTCGAAACAGTATAAAAAGGACAGCAGACATTCTCGGTAAAATTTCATCTCTCTTCTCCCTAGTTATAGTTAGAGTCATTAATTGCACGGATCGAGTCTGATCACTTAGGATTGAAAGAAGTATGGCAGTTTTAGGTTGAAACATTTCGGTTTTAATTTATTTTAAGTTTGAATTATTTGGAATTATTCGGGTTTAACATTCAAGGATCGGATTTATTGGCAAAATAAATTAAATTTGGACTTATCGAGAAGAATTGAATGGGTGACACTACAAAAAAATGAAAGATTAGTGATAATTTTATAGCGGCATTGCACTTATAAACGTTGTTAGCTTTCGTGTTTTTATAAAATTTAATACGTTTATTATCAAAACGTCATTAAATATTCAAATAGCGATGTTTTTACTTATAAACACCATCCAAGATTGATATTAGCGGCATTTATCGATTAAAACGCCTTGAATAATCCTGTCTTAAAAATTTTAGTAAATACTAAAGGCATTTTTGAAAAAAATGACTTGAATAATCCAATTAAAAAAATTGATAAGGGATTATTGAAGGCATTTTTGGTAGACAATGCATTAAATAATCCCCTTATAAAAAAATATATGCAATTATTTAAGACGTTTTCTGCAAGAAATGCCTTTAATAATTTCACGAAAAAATTTCATAGGATTATTGAAGTTGTTTTTAGTCAAAAACATTTTCAATAAATATCCTATCAAAATTTAAGGATCATACAGATATTAACCATAAGGTGGTAAGTTCGATCCCTTCCTTTAGCCTTTTTTAAGTTTTTGTAGGGATTATTTGTAATGAATTATTCTATGTATTTTTTGGACAAAAACGCCTTCACCAATCAATTTAAAAAATTTTGGAGAGAGAATATTAAAGGCATTTTTGGCAGAAAAATGCCCTTAATAATTTGTAGGAAAAATATGAAAAGATTCTTGAAGGTATTTTTGGTCAAAAGTGCCTTCAATAATCTAATTAATAAATTTAAGTGGAATTATTAAAAGTGATTTTTGTCAAAAATATCTTCAATAATCTATACAAAAAAGTTGGAACGGATTCTTGAATGAATTTTTGGTCCAAAACGCCTTTAATATTCCACACAATAAATTTTTAGGTAGGATTATTAAAGGCAGTTTTGGTAAAAAATGCTTTCAATAACATTTTGTTAGAGATTATTCAAGGTATTTTCTGACTAAAAACACCTTCAGTAATCCCATAAAAAAAACTTTAGTTTAATTATATATGTGAAGTTGTTGTAGATTTATGCATAGAAAACATTTAAAGTCAGTTGTAGATTTATGTCCAGAGAATATTTGGTTTATATATGTGATACTACAAAATATATTTTGAAATTTACATTATGAATATTGTTGTATTTCAATAAATTGACTACATAGCCGAATTTAAAACTGATAACATTGCCATTTTAATATACTTTTTTCAAATAATTGTACTCAATAATATATTGAGTACACATAGTGTATTCATATAAAACAAATATATACCAATAATATTAAAATAATACCCCAATCTACAAACTTAAGTTATTCATTCAACATAGCATGTTAAAAACATTATAACAATTTGTTTCTCATATATTTACATTCAACCAATAATGTCCAACCTCAAGGTTTTATCAATAAATGATAATATATACTCACACCATTCTTTACGTACTTCATCCAATTCATCTACCGTGAAGCTTTCTTTACTCTCCCACTAAAAAAAATTAAAAGTAAATGTTAATAAATGAGAACATAATTTAGCTTTTTATTTTTTTGAAGATATAATGACTTTATGAAATTTATATGAACCTTGAATGGTGTGGTCATAAAATTATATAAAACTATCTCCCGTATATAACGAAGGACATAATATCCACATTCAGTATTTTCGGGTTGACGAGGTACCTAAAAATTAAATTGTATGGGTTTAGAAAACATTTATCTACACAAACTCAACATAAAAGAATAAATTTCACATTTACTGGTAATGACACGTATTTTTCTTTATCTTCTTATCGAATACAAATATTACCCTAAATTGAAAAGAAAAAAATTACTTAATACATAAATAAAATTACTTATGAAGAAATAAAAGATATATAATATAATAAAATGTAATACCTTTTTATAAAAAGTTTGAATTTTGGGGTTAGGTATCGCCGTTAGATTAGCTGAATTAAATAAGTATGGCATTAAGGATTTGGTATCAATCATAATAAGCACCCAATGACAATTGCAAAATAATAACAATGATATACTCAGATTAGGCATCATATCAGATTCAGGTAAGGTTAGAATAATTATTTGTATGAATATAACTTATTGTGCATTATACGGAAGCAAATAATAATCAACCAGTCTTTTCATGCATTCAATCATATTATTAGCATGATAAGCAACTGTGCCACTTTACTCACTAATGAAGTTGAGGTCAACGAATCTAAATCTGTGGGTCAACTATC